AGACTACAATGCCGGCTGTTCTGACTCACAGACTGTAAGTACGTTTTTTATATTTAAAGAATTTGCCACTGACGATTCAAACGCGAGTTTTGAGCAGTGTAGTGCACTTGTTGTGTTTAATTTCTCCGATCACAATTGCAGACATGTGCTTTCTCTGTGGCAGCTCCTAGGCTCTGGAATGCCCTTCCTCTGTCTATTAGAACTTCTCCAACTTTGGGTGTTTTTCAGAGTTCGCTTAAAACTCATTTGTTTTCTCTAGCTTTTGACAATGTTTTTTAGCTGTGTATGATATTTGTTACTATTATTATTTATGTATTTTTATTTTTTTATTTTATTTTACTATTATTATTTTTCATTTGTTTTTATATTATTCTTATCATTCTTATTTTTTTCCCCCCCTTATCTTTCTCTGTACAGCACTTTGGTTCCAGTCGTGGTGTTGAAAGTGCTTTATAAATAAAGTTTGAGTTGAGTTGAGAGTTGAGACATGGTTTTATGTTTACATGGCGCGATGCAACGCAACGCGTAAAAAGACAGTATAAGTCATTATAATCCGTAATTATGTCACCACTAGATGCAGCAAATGCCTCGTTTATAATGGGTTTTAATGTTTTTGTCTCGTCGCTCCAGCCGGACAGGGCATCATGGTTGGGGACCTCTTCTCTAGACCTTCTGCTTTACTGGAGTGAGCGAAATAATGAAGGAAACAGAATGATTTTAAAGTCTGTTTTACATTTGACATACACGTTTAGATTAAATATGACACTCTGAATAATGAAGTTAAGCACTGAAATTTCATGAAATTATTATCCAGAATTTACAACATTTTTATACGAATTTAAACAGAAATATTTACAGTGGATGTGCTGCTTTCAAACTATTTTCCTGTGGTATGCGATTTAATGTTTTAATCACAGCGTGGATTGCTTAGCGTATGACAATTCCGCTTTAAATTGTGTTCTAAATAGCAAAACTCATGTTCTGAGAAAATACTTTTGCGTGAATAATGATCACTGATGTGAACTTGATTCGTCTGATGCTTTGGAACATAAACGGTAACGACAGACATAAGGATGCACTCTTTGATCAAACAGTCCATTGGCTGGTTTGATGGCAGTACTCTAGAACCTCTGTTCTCAGGTGTCGTGCACAGACAGTAGCCTAATATAACCCCTTTCGTGCTCTTCCCAATATTGTGACAAACACCATATTTAAAAGATAGAATTTGAAGGAAACTGTAAGATATGCGCGTTTTATTTTCTAAATGTTTTGTTATTGACGCAGTGAGTCAGACAGCTATTTACACTGCAAAAAAATTATTTCCATAAAAATATAGGCTATAAACATTGTAAAATATATGTTTACCTTTTAGGCAAATTGCATAAATTAGAATAGTGATGTCTCAAAACGCATTTATATGCGATGGAATATGCATGGAAAGGATATGCAGATGACGTTATTCATATTAAAACTAGGCGTTGTAAGCTCCATAAATGGCTATTTCAGGGAGGAGACGGGGTGGAGATTCA